GACTTTAATCTACCATGACCCCACTGTATGTCATACTCGACTACTCTCACGGTACTCACCTCGCCTTTTTTCTACCCTATCTACCTTCGTCTTTGAAACACTCTTCTGTCTCCCTCCCTCTCGACTTTCTTTCACTTTGATGCTCCTTCCCCTCTGTGGAGCCTGAAGTCAACTAAAGGGCTAATGATAACCATAAAAACGCCTGCCATTTGATATAGATAAATAAATAAATGATGAGATAAAAGAAGGCGTCTTCGATTCGATATCGTACCTCAGTAAAGAGAGTATCCAATATCTGTGGAGAGATGGTAGCATGCTCATGACAGAAGATACTTTTCACAAAACGTAGATGTTCCAGTAATCGCAGTTCCATCACAAAGTGCTCCAAAAGACACCTGGCTACAATCTCCGCGCTAAATTGAAGGGAACGGGCACGATCAACTAGGAGTCAGGCCAATTTTAAGGCGAGGGAGTACTGATTCTTACCGTGCTTGAAGAGGCCTAGCAATGACTCTGTCGAGAGCAGAGAAGAATGGAACCTTTTGGTACTTTGATGAACATATTTGTCCGTGATTGGAGTTCGCATCAAGGGAGCGAAGAAAGGCAGAGAAAGCGTTGGAAGTACCCACATCTGAAGTAGAAAAAAAAGTAACCAGATAATAACCTGTAAAAGTCTAGCCTTACAAAAATAGGTTCTAGCTACAAGGGAGGCTAATCTATGATTATGAAAAACCAGCTAAGCTATAATCCCTCGGAAGTGGTTTAAAGACAGCCAACTTATGCCTAGTCCGCGTCAGGCCAACCTAATGACCCACTCACTCCATTCCCACATATTCGTGCTGTGTGATGTACTTCTAACCTCGAACATAGTTAGACCGAGTGTTCTTTAGAATTCCTTATTGTCTAGCAGTACATTTAACCAAACACATGTGTGGCTTCTACGCCTATTCCCCATTTCCAAGGGTACGTAATCCCCCCCCCCCCTATCTATCAAAACCACCGACCTCTGTGTGGAGACTGCAATTAACACTCCCCTGATTGTCCCACCCACTGCTACTCGCTCCCACCAACAAAAAAATGGGGGAATCGGGCTATGGAGTAAGTCCCATAATGAACTGAGAGAAAGAAATTTGGCCTCAATCGGTAAACAAATGAATAAAAAAGTTCAACGTACAACTCAATAGAACAACAATGGCTATTATGATTATTACCCACAGTAAGGCAGAAGAAAGTTAGAATTTTCGATAGAGAATGGAGGGAGGGGGGGGGGAGGTCGGGAAGACGCTGGTGCTTGGATTAGGGATTGTACAATATCACATTCCAGAGTACCCTGGATCGTTGAGCGAATTCTCAACACATGTACACTTACGGCTACCTTAGCTATTACGCTTGCTCCATGTCACTTTTATTCCCTTGTTTGCTTTTGAGAAAGCAGAAAGACCTTTAACATTTCTAAGCCAAATTGTGAGAGTTCAATATGTTTTGTGGTCAATAAATGTCTTAAGTAGCAACCCAAATACCCAATTTCTCAGCAAATGTCAAATCTCCACTTGATAGGGGTTAAGAGACCTAATACCATGGAAATTTCTGCTAGAACTTCTATGAACTAGTGGCATGCGCCATCCGCCACATAACCAAGAAGAACCCGAACCTCCTGATAGACGCGTGGATAATCATAAAAATAGTAAAAAAATATTCAGCGCTTACCACTACCAGTGGTTACGGAGGGGTCGGACCATGGCGAGGCTTTGAGTTGTGAGGGCTCGAGGAGTTCTTGACTGAATGCGATAATATCTTCGTCAGGTAGGTGTTCACGTGGTTTCGGTTTCTCCCAAGCTTTTAAAGAATGACAAAGATGAAAATTTTAATGTGTCTAGTTGATTTTTCAGCCAAGAAACACGGCAAAATTGAAAAGAATAGCGACGTTAAATTCGCGAAAGGAAGGTTGAAGGATAACTACTAAAATGGTTTGCACAACCTTTTTCCGTTTTAGTACATGCCATCTTCAATGCAACCGATACGCACCTACAGGATGTTGATTCTCGCATTTCTACTTTCTCTACCCGTGGTGTGCGATAGACTTACCTCCACGTGGTGCAACCTGGGCAACGTATTCTCTATAAACCGGCAGTCGACTTCTGACTTCAAACTACCATGCTCCCACTGCATGTCTTATTCCATCACTTCCACCATACTTATCCTACCTTTTCTCTGACTTTGTGTCTGTCTGTCTCTTTTACACTTGTTTATCCTTATTCTGTCCCCACTTTGATGTTCCTCCTCCTCTATGTGAAGTCCGAAGTCAGCTAAGGGGCAAACGATGAGTATCATAAAGCCCGCCATTTGAAATAAATAAATACTTTCTCTACCCCTATTCTTCTCCATTCATCATCTTTCTCCTCTCCTTCTCTCGAATTTAGGCCGCTAATTTGTGATAAAATTGGCATACTCTCATCTATTGCTATTCCAGTTCTGTTGTGCCATTCACTGGATGACTAGCAAGATCCATTTAAGTAGAAATTCAAACACTCACACGATTGCAATCGATAATTGTGGACAATTTAAAAAGACGATGATTTAACTGCATCCAAAGCAGCACGTTAGAACAATAAAGTGTTAGGACTGATTGCTGGGAATCCAAGCGACACAACAAATAAATCCATATTTTAACTAGCTGCTAAGCAATTATGGCTTATAAGTGCCATACAACTGACTAGTAGAAAAAAAATCCAAAAATTAAGAAGGGCCATTTTAGATAAAATCCTTTTTAAAAGGAATTATAAGCATATGCTGAGTGTATTGGCATTCGGTTCACCGCAAATAAACGTATAATTACGTGCGGATATCGACTTACCACTATCTCTTGCACTAGGTCCAAGCCCCTTGCCATAGATGATGTCTTTAGCGCGGGTTCCTTCAAAATCTTCCCTATTGAATTGGCGCTTTGACTGGAAATGCGTTACCTTCTAAAATTGAGTACAAATCGAAAAGCCGAGTTATAGCTGTTCAATGTCCATCATCTTAAATATAGATTAAGTCACTGAAAGGCATACCGCAGATCCAGCTTCGTTTGATTTATTTCGGTCTGCAATAAGTGGCTGCCTCACTTCATAAACTGGTTCTTGATGCTGATTGGATGCTGATATGCAGACTTGAGAACACTTCGTGGCATCGGGAGAACTTTTAGGTGAGATAATTTCCTTAATTTTTTCGCCCTCAGAAGGAGAACCAATCCCCTCCACATTTTCTACAAGTTCTGGATCTCCCTCGTCTCCTTTTGACTGTGTTGGCAGTGTTTGGCGAGAAGATATCTCCTCTAGATTTAGAACAGCAAGAGGATAGCGCGACTTTAGAGAAGATTTTAGATCGAAGGTCGCTTCTCGAATACGTTCATCTAATTCGGACATCTTATCGGCATGCTCCTTTAGCATACGTTCTCTAAAATGTATTTAAAAAATTCGTATTTTGAAGCTCAAATAATCTAATCAGTAAAGTGTTTTGCTCATAAAAAAGCACAAAAAGACCATGATAAAGTCCCACGGTGACACAACGACTCGAATATGATTGGCTAGACATGAACTCATCCAAGAGACTGGAATCAAATCCAATAAAAAAAATCGACAGCGAGTAGGTACTATAGGAGGGTGCTAACAATCCAGAACTCAAATAACGAAGTGTTTGTTATCTGTTTCGAATAACGCCAACTCTCACCCCTCTTCACCTAACTGCTCTTCGAGTTTGGAAGTTTCACAAAGGCTAAAAAGTAGAAGCAAAAATCACATGGACAAAAGACCCACTTCTCCTCTTCCACAATAATTTTGTGGGCAGCATCACGTTTCAGAAGCTCCATCTCTTCACGCCGCAGAGCTGCTGATAGTTCAATGTTTCGTTTTCGTTTTTCTCGAATCGCCTCTTCCGCCTCCTGCCTCAATGCTTGCCGTTTCTGAAATTCCGCTTCCTTGGTCTTCTGTTCTTTAGCTAGAAGTAGAAAATAGAATGGATAGATTAGCTAAACGTCACTTACAAGATGAAAGGAAAGTACTTTCCGACAACGGGGTGTGTGATAGACTTACCTCCACGTGGTGCACCCTGGGCAACGCATACTCATACGGCAAAAAAGTCTTTTACCTGGCAGTTGACTTCTGACTTCAAACTCCTATGACCCCACTGTGTGTCATATTCGACTACTTCCACAGTACTCACCTTATCTACCTTCGTCTTTGAAGCACTCTTCTGTCCCCCCCCCCGCCCTCTCGATTTTTTTCACTTTGATGTTCCTCCTCTGTGAAGCCTGAAATCAACTAAAGGGCTAATGATAGCCATCAAAACGCCTGCCATTTGATATAATAATAACTTTCCGACAACAAAGCAATGAACACACTCGTCTGCAGAGTTCGAGGTCACGGTATAGCTAATAAATGGAATGGCAAATATCAGTCTCCTGGGAACCTCAATGATGAGTCCCCAATGCATAGACGGTGAATAAGAATACGCAGTCACTAGCATATTCGAACGTCCCACAAAGATCTCCAGGCGTATAGCTACTGATGGCCACTTGCCATATTTTACGAAAAAAGATTGACACTATTGGCTAGCGGTTAACACAGTAAATAACGACCAGCGCTTTACAAGTTGTCTAAAGTTAAAGATGGGGAGAGTGCCTGAATAAAAAAAGAACATTTTAAGGGGTCTGTTTGCAAAAGATAGCCTCTAAGCAGTGCGAATATGGACGCAAATAGGATGATGAGTGATGCGTTGCAATGAAGAGAGAAAGAAGAGTGGCTCGGGTCATTCACTCAAAGTAAAACCCTGAATTAATAACCAAGATCACGAATACTAAGAGTGGTATGATTTGATGCCCTGAACAACCGTGATCCTTTGAATCAGTCATTTACTTAATTTTTTTAGTTGTTCTAAATTCCAGCAACTTCGGTGTTTTAAATGGAATTGATTTAATCAATTAATGTGCAATCATGCCATCAAGACGATGTCTGGATAGCTCGCGTCGGTCCACAAGGACTGAAAAATGAAACAGAATGACTTTTTATTAAATTAAATCCACAAGCTAAATATCCAAAAATCAAAGCAAAAACCTTCAAGTTCTACGACGAAGTTCCAAGAGATAAAAGAATAATCCAAATTCCAGATAAAATCACACATTTGGCAACCTTCTCTAAGCCACAGAAGGCAAGAAATGTGGTGAGCTTAATGAGAAGCGGAGCTCGACGTCAGGACGATGAGATGAACAATAATTCAAATTATACTTCTACAAAAAGTATAGAGATTTTTCTCCACTATTTCCACCACCTTTAATGGAAGACATTACGAGTCTAGAATTCCATTTATCCTAATTGAGATTATGCAAACTGCTCCACCGACCAACGAACATAAATTATCCAAGCGACGATTAAAGTAATTTCGAATTTTGGAACTCACCTTCAACTCGTTGATATCTCGACCTTGCCAACATTAAGCCTAATTATTTCATGACCTAACCGTAAACTGATTCCCATTAATTGCATGCAATTAATACGGTAAAAATCTTGCCTCACAACGGGTCATAAGTTAGGAAAGGCATTCACACTTAGAGATACTATCGAAAAATGCTGATTTATGTTAAATTATAATTTTAGATGAAAATTAAAATACAAGAATATGAAAAAAAGGAGAACATTGCACAAAGCAAAAGAGACTTCAAATACTTAAGAATCGATTTTATTTAAAAGATGAGGGGTGTGTGATAGACTTACATCCACGTGGTGCACCCTGGGCAACGTATACTCATACGGCAAAAAAGTCTATTAACTGGTAGTTGACTTCTGACTTTAATCTACCATGACCCCACTATATGTCATATTCCATCATTTCAGCAGATCTCGCCTTACGTTTTGCTCCACATTTGTGCCTGTCTGTCTCTTTTACATCCGTGAATTATTATTCTGTCCCCCCTCTCGATTTTTTGTCACTTTGATGTTCTCCCTCCTCCTCTGTGAAGCGGCTAATGATAAGTATCAAAACGCCTGCCATTTGAAATAAATAAATAGATTCTTAATGCTCCTCCCTTCTGTTGAAGCCGAAGTCAACTAAAGGGCTAATGATAACTTTCAAAACGCCTGCCATTTGAAATAAATAAATAAATTTTGTTTACAAAATGCCTGCCATTTGAAATAAATTTAAAAATGGCTCTAAATAACCTGGATCTAGATAAAGAAACTTCGTAAGCTGAATTTCTACTTCCTAGAAGAAAAAAACAACACAGAAACAAGGAGTTTCAAACACTTCGCATAAACAACTTAGTGAACTTACCAAGAATTGCATTCCGCTTCGATGCGAAGGAAACAAGGGCTTCACGCAGTTCTTTGCGTTTCTGGCCTTCGACTTCAAGTGATTTCGCCCTCCTTAGAGATCAATTAAAGTAAGTAAAAACAGAAAAAAAACAAATTTTGGTTGAATTTATCGTACCACGCGACTTTTACTGCTGTGGAGGCCTTTTCTATGACACACTGGTGATTTTCAATAAGACGACGAAGGTCAGGAAGACTGAGAGGGGGCAGTGTCAAAAATGGAAAGGTGTTTGAGCGATCGAAGAGAAAATGCTGAAAATTCGAAATAAGCATTATATATATGCGTTCCATTTACTAAGGACGAAACAAAAAACCTGGGCGCGTCAGTTCTTAACTATTAATTGTTAAAAAAAACACATGGAATTATTGGCCAATCAGGTCAAATGATGAATAGTCAGTGAGCCATGAACTCACACAGAAAACAACGTGAAATCCTCCAATTCGGGCATTAAAAGATTGCAATATGAAGAAGGGAACTGCATTCAAAAGGTGAAAACTGCATAATCCAAATTCAAAGGACCAAACCTTGCAAAGCTAATTTGATACCCAGACATTACTTTTGACTACGTGGGGTGTGCGATAGACTTACCTCCATGTGGTGCACCCTGTATACGGCATAAAATACCATCACCACACTTAGTACTCACCTTACTGTATGTCATATTCGACTACTTCCACAGTACTCACCTCATTGTATGTCATATTCGACTACTTTCACAGTACTCACCTCAACCGTATGTCATATTCGACCCCTTCCACAGTACTCATCTTACCTCGACTATTTGTCATATTTGACCCCTTTCACAGTACTCATCTTACCTTGTCATATTCGACTACTTTCACAGTACTCACCTCACCTTCTGTACTCTACCTTTGTCTGTCTCTTTTACATCCTTGAAACACTCTTCTGTTCCCCTCCCCTCTCGACTTTTTTCCCTTCGACGTTCCTTCCTCTCTGTGAGGCCTAAAGTCAACTGATGACTAATGATAACTATCAAAACGCCTGCCATTTGATAAAA